AAGTGATTTTTCTTAACCAAAATGACATAAAAACACATTATTCTAATACGGATCCTTTTCGACCCGTTATGGAAGACTGTAGGGTCCAGTCACTCGGGCATGTAAGGGTTAAAAAAAAAGTATTTTCGTAAAAGAAGACAGAAGATAAAGTACGCCTTTCATTAAATTCATACATTTTACTCAATTTGTTGTAATTTTTAAACTTTTGGATGTTTTCATAAAGCGACATAAGCATTCCGTTGCTCATTTCAGTTTGTTCCCCAGGGTCATGCTAATTAAAGCTAATTAAATCACCCTCACAAAACCAATTAAAGCTTCCCAGCGGCCAACAGTTTCCAATATCACCCCACCAATACCAATAACGTAGCATAATCCGCGAGGAGTAAGAAACAAAGAGCAGCTCTTTCATCACCGCCGAACATTCATCACCCGCCCCGCCTCTCATTACCTCAGATTTAACTCTAATTAGTACAGCACAAAGACGTTCTGATGTAACTATGAGCCGCAGCACAGCCTGGTAAAATGACTAATAACTAGCAGCTTAAAGCCTGAGGGGAAGAAGAAAGATGCTTCAAGGAGCTAAGGTCACAGTAGCGTTAAATATTTCCTGGAACATGTAAAGGTCACTAGTGCAGTAGGACAAATCTCAAGAGATGTAATATCGGTGAACATCTATGGCAAATGCATACCATAGATGCAATGTTGTAGAGATTACAAAACTGTATCAGTTAGCAAAAAACATCAAAAGCTTCTTTACGCAGTACAGCTATGAATTGCGCTGTATTGCAATCAACTAAAGGTGTGGTTGAATTGTGCCATGAATTACACATATGATGTTTGTCAATTTAAAAGATAATTTTGCAAGTCAAAAAAATTAAAATGTGTCGTAAAACTGTGAAGTAACACTTTTGTTTGTGGGAACCCGTCTGAACCGCTCAATGAACTACATCTCCCGTCTCGCACCACACACCAAGACGGCCGTCACGTTGGCACATTTCACCTCTTTCTTTCAGAATAAAGTGAAAAGTATTAAAAGAGGTGAAAATCACTCCAAGTCTGGGCATGTTGAGAGCTGTACATACACACAAGGGGAGTTAGTCGGTTCCGTAAGAGCCAGCATGCGGGACCGGGATTCTGGGATTTGTAGTCTTTCTAGTTGCGTATTTTTCATATTCTTATATTTCCACAGTTTTACGACAAACTGTGACTTTTTTGACATGGAAATTATTTTTTTAAGATTGACAAACATCATATGTGTAATTCGTGGCACAATTCAAACGGGATCGAAAGATAATCTTTCTCTCTCCATTGACTTCAATACATAATTTTTCCGAAATAAGGTCCCATGGGGCGGAAGTAGATGGGCGGGACTTCGCCTCTCTATTTATGGACGAGCTATACAAAACTGCTGGCATACACCTTTAATTAGGTATTTCTTCATATGCTAATGATAAATGAACTGATGCTATAAACAGATATTTTCTCTTTTAAACTGTGTATGCACATGAGGGAAAGTCAGACGGGGGATGAAGCTGTTTTTTGTAATTGGAGATAAATGCTTAGGTGAGCACTCTCAGCCCAGATTCAAACTTGACAACCGTCAACTGTGGCCCATGAGAACCGGAGCGACTGTTGTCTCTCACCCACATGTAAAGTGATACCTGGAAAACATCAGCACACCCAGTGATTTGTACCTGTGATGCAGTCGTCCTCTTTTTTCTTTCTGAGACAAGCCGCTGAGTAGGAGGCCAAAAGTAGACGTTCAGCTTGGGATGCACACGTCTCGAGGGTCTGAAGACGGATCAAAAAGAGATATTGGATTCTAAATGAGTGGCTTTGGATCTGAAAACTAGATAGGAGATCACGAGATGAAGATCCGTGTGGTCCAGATCTGGGGATTCCTGATGACAGTTTTAGGATGGATCTTCGTGGCCTGCACCATGGCCATGGAGGGCTGGAAGATCACCTCCATCGGGGGCATGGGGGGCTCCTCCATCCTCAAGGTGGCCTGGTACTGGTCCAGCCTGTGGAGATCCTGTTTTACAGACTCAACAGCTGTCAGCAACTGTTACGACTACCCTGTGCTGTGGTCTGTGGAGGGTAGGTCACACGTCTAAAACAAAGCATCCAACTAGCATCCAACCTTTCATTAACATCCATTTGTGTCTTACTGTGTGACTCCAGGCCACATCCAGATAGTGCGAGGCCTGCTGATGGCAGCTCTTTCCCTTGGTATGCTGGGATTCGTGCTCAGTCTGTTGGGTATGGAGTGCACCTTCATCGGAGGAAAAGACAGGTCAAAGCACAAGAAGATATACGTAGGCGGATGTTTCCACGTTATCAGCGGTAAATATCTAGTTTTAATAAGGGGACAGTCAGCAGATAGAGTCGAATATGTGAGTGTGTGTTGTCTACATGTTATTTAACTTGATTTCTAGCACCATTACCAGATTAAACTTTCCAATGCTTTGTTAATGTCCTGATAAATACCTGCAAAACTATTGACTAATAACTAGTGAATGATTCTCTGCTTTGTGTTGAATGGTTACCAGTATGTTAGCATCCAAGCTAACACGCTCAACAGAGTACATACAATAGCTGCTAAATATTATTGATTGTGAAGTAGCATTCAGCTCAATAAGGTTGGGTTATATATCTGATGACTTTGGTGAATTCGAACTAACTCTGTAAAGACAGAGTAACCATCACGGAAACTCTTGAGTTCTGCAAGGGAATCAAAATCAACTCCTCTGATGATCTCTGTACATACTGACATTCAAACATCTGTTATACTGTTTTAAACAGGTTCCATATTGTTGTCTTGTGACTGGGTAATTGCTAGAATTGAGCTATCTGTGCACAATTGAACCAAAGAGCATACTCTTGTTAAAATGATACAGCAAAGATAAAGATAATTAAATGTTTGTAGTATCATTTTTCCCCCCGTTTTTTTTATCTTGCAACATTTTGTGACCCTTTTAGATGTATCTTGTGTGCACCTTTTGGGTCCCTACCCTTAGGTTAGGAAACACTGATCACGGTCTCTTTCTAATATTCCTAGCTACATCAATCAGCGATGCTAATAATATATTCTAAATATATGATTTCTCTTAAGGCGTGCTCTCCACATGTGGGTATGCAGTGTACGCCCAGTATGTCTCAGTAGAATACTTCAACCCGGACTTTAATGGACTGAAGTAAGTTAACAGCCCTTAATGTAGCTATGTAACCTGTGTCATCAAGAAAAAACATTAAACTAAAATATGAATCTCTCAACCATCATATAGGTATGACCTGGGCACCCCCATGTTCCTGGGATGGGTGGGCTCTGCCTTCCACATGGCTGGAGGTTTCTTCTACCTGTGGTCAGTGTGCACACCGCTCTATGGAGGAGAGGTGAAGTGAGTACAGACACATGTTGGAACATGTTGGGGGAAGTGAATAAATAACTCCTCTCTCCGCTTCCTCAATAAATACCATTCTCCCATGTGCTCGGGTGGAATGACTCGTCTAAAAATGCACGAGCAAGTTAAAAGTGGCAGTGTGCAGATGTGCACTGTGGGAAGGCTCCCTCCCACCCACCGTGTAACATCCTGAAGCCATCGCTGTAAACAGGCAGGGGAGGTTGTTAAAAGGGTGGGAAACAACTGCTTGCTGCGGATTCATTTAAGCAGCAGAGAATACATCTACAAAGAAGCTGAATCTCACATTCAAGATTTCAAGTTAATGACACATTTTCCTCCTTTCCAGTTTCCTCCCCCTAATTTCCATTTTGATCCTCTGCTCTCGTTTCCTCCTATCCTCTCCTGTTACCTACTCTCCTCTCTTCGTATCTCCTTTTCTCTCTCGTTTTCTACTCTCTTCAAATCCACCAACCAGCAACTATAAAACTCACTCAACAAACCTCTGAAGACCAAGACACTGATTGTTGCCTTGATCTGCTTGACATCAATGCGTTTCTCTCCGCAGAGTAATAACGGTCAAGGCACTACCAGATGTGGAGCAGAACAAGTCCACCACAGCTCTGTCCTCGGTGTCCGAGATCACCTCCAAGACTAAACTGTCCTCCGTGTCCGAGCTGTCGTCCAGATCTGAGCGCTCGGATCTGTCGGACATTTCCTCCAGGTCAGGACGCACGGCCAAATCAGGGCGGTCATCGAAGACAGGGCGAACCTCCAGGTCTACTGAGTCAGCACGGTCTGCGGGGTCCGGGTCAGGGTCAGGGTCCAGGTCAGGGTCGGAGTCCGTGGTCTCATCGATGTCTGGCGCATCAACTGTGTCCGGGTCAAGGAGCAGCGGCAGCAGCAGGACCGTTTCATCGCTGTCAGGAAGCTCAAGGAGCGGAGCTAAACCGTTCCTCAAAAACTCTTATATATGAGCAAATGTGAGATCAATGGAAGCCCAGAGAAGAAGGGGAAGAGTTCTGCTGATTCATTTTCTAAGTCTGTTTTTTTATCCTGTCTTGGGGTTTGTGTCAGGATTTGTGCGTGTTTGTTGTTTTAATACCATTATTATATGACAGTAATGTTACATAACTTGCAAAAACACATTGTGTTAGAGTGCGTGGAGAAATTAAAACTCACCTGGAAAGAAACACAAATGCATCTAGTCCTATTTGGAACTACAATCAGCCTCCTGTGGCTTAAATGAAGAAACAAATGATAATACAAATAAATCACTGCCAGAGCTATTTCTCCCCACCTGTTTTCATTCAAAAGATGACATTGTAAAAAAAGAAAAAATTCCCTTTTGTAACTTTTTAAGGTTAACCTGGAAAAACCTTTTTTCACCTTTTATTGAGTCATTAGAGCAGGAGAGATGTTCTATTCAATGTATGGATCTGATGTGAATAAACATTGTGCAACAGGAATGTTTACTGACGAGATTCCTGCAGCTTGTAGTTCCTGTTTGTCATCGATTACGTGGCACACCTAGACATCATACCATTCGATAAAACAAATAACTGAGGCATACTTCTCATTCCTTTAACGCTGGCAGCCTTTCTGACAGCAACTCACTCTACCAGGCCGACTGGTTGACAGTAAACAATATCTTTCTTGCAGCTATGTAAACTGTGACACAAATACACAAGCAGCTGCTCTTAGAGGACCGAACAATTCCGGCTTTTGCTTTCTTAACTTCTTAGTGGACTACTTCCTTTACAAGGTAGGGAGACAAACACATCTGGCAATATTGGCTCTACTTTTCATCTAAAATGTGTAAACATCCGAGTCATTTTTAGAGCCTAATGAGAGAAGGCTGTTGTGTTTACCAGAGTGAGGGGATGTGGAGGAGACTGGCTCAGATCCTGGCCCTGCTGCTCTGCATTCTGGGATGGGGCTTTGTAGGCTTCACTCTGGCTATGGACCGCTGGAGGTAGGCAAAAAAAAACTATTCGACAAATCGCACTTGATTTGTTTTAGCTCTTTAAAAAAGTGTCTTGACTGAAGATAAAAAGATAAAAATACAAAAATTAAGGAAGCCAGTCGAGGTGACGATTTGAAACAGCTTTTGGATATGATGAGAGAAAAATAATCACATTGCTGTATGAAAGGGGAGGTGTGACATTTAAGGGCATTTAGGAGTCAGGAAGGGTCTAATGAGAAATACTTTTGAGTGGCATTGTGGGAAATGTAGGAAGAGTTCCAGTTTCAGTTAGTTGACATATTCATAATCAATCCTGGTAGCTGTGGTCATAGTATATTCAGTAGCTCTTGAAAACTGGCCTAATATGTACATAAATGAACTTTTTTTGTTCATTGTGTATGTGTTTTCTTACTGGAGGGTGGCCCAGCTGGGGGGTCGGGGGGGCTCCTCTGTGGTGGGGGCAGCCTGGTTCTGGTCTGACCTGTGGAAGGACTGCTATGAAGACTCCACCGCTCGGATCAACTGTGTGGACTTCCGGGTTCTGTGGACAGTCAAAAGTATGTCAATAATCATTCCATTTCTTGAATGCTAAAATAAATGAATTATTGAGCCTGAGGTGTGTTTGTTTGTTTGTTCAGCACACATCCAGGCAGTGAGGGGCCTCCTGATGGTCGGCCTGTTCCTCGGTTGCATTGGCACAGTGCTCACCTTTTTTGGATTGGAGTGCACACTCATTGGTGGAGACGAGAGAAGTAAAGATAAGATGTTGATAACAGCGTCTGCCTTCCATCTGCTCGGCTGTGAGTACCATTTGTTAGCAATCACAAAGCATCTTAGCAGGAACAGATACTCACTGGTTGTTCCTGTTTTTTCCCCGTGTGTCATCGGCTTTCCCTCATGCAGGCGCATCAGACGTGGCTGCTTATTGTTTATACATCCACAGAGTGCTGGCAGCTTTCTTGCGCAGTGAAGCAGATCCGTCAGAAGTGAGGTAATGTGTGGCGTCTAATTTACTCTCATTATTCAGATAACAGTGAGGGAAATGTAATTGTTTTCTCCGCAGCTATGAGATTGGAGCCCCCCTCTACCTTGGCCTGGTGGGATGTTTCCTTATTCTTAGTGGCTCTACAGTTCACTGCTTAACTGCACGCAGAGCTAACCACTGGAAAACGTAAGTTAACAAACCATTTAGCAAAAATAATCTCACTTTCCTATGAGAGAGCCTAGAGATTTGAAACTATAAATTGCTATTTGGGTATATTTACCAATAAATCACTAATGTACACTGACTTGATATATTGCTTTCTCTTCAGAAATCATCCTGTGGTTCCCCCTATCAGTGTGAAAGGAGAACACACGTGTGGAAGGTCAATAATCCTCAGAAACGCCTCCACCTACAAGATGGTGTCGGTTGTGGTTGTGTAACACTTCAGATAATTTTTTTAATAAATAATAACACTTGTTTTGTATAGATTTCTAAATAATTTATTTTGTGAATAACACTTGAAGCCGCCCCCTTCATTTCAGAAACGGTCCTGAGAACGTAATCTAATAATGCCAAGTGTGTGATTATTGTTATCCTTATATTATAAGTTGAATACCCAATCAGCTATGTATATAAAATAAACAATACAAAAAGGAATGATTTTCATCTTTTGTGATTCTTTTTCTGAGCTCTGACATAATTGTTTATTTAATTTGATGTTCTGTTGGGGTTGTGGAGACTTTTCTTTGCCTGTTCCTATCCCTTGTCTTAATGCATCGTCAATACAACACAAAAACTGTTAGATGTTTCCTTTTTTGTGCTAAGGGAATGATTCCCGCTTTAATTGTAAGACACTTTTTTGGTTATAATGAATGTATTTTATATAAAGAACAAAGGTTGATTTTGCAACAATGAGGAAGACAAACAAAACACAAGGGTTACTTCAAATGGGAGCATGATCCGGTGCGACGTCATCCTTCACCTTTCTGCCTCAGTGCTGGGAACACGAAGGATGCTTACGAGGCAAAACCTGGAAAAGATAAGATGACAACAGGTCTGACGCCTAAAGAACAACAAAGGGCTCAGTCCTGTTTCCCACAGTGAACGGTGTGGATGGTACTCTCTTTATTTAACACACTTCAATAGTTTTGATCCCACCATGAAGTACAGGACGGTGGTGATGTACATGGAGATCGGCTGCTTCGTGTCCTGCCTGTGTGGCTGGATCCTGGTGTGCTCCACTCTCCCCACAGAGTACTGGACCTTCTCCGAGGTGGGCAGCGTCGTGCTGACAACCTCCAACTACTACTCCAACCTGTGGAGGGACTGCATCTCCGACACCACGGGGGTCTCCGACTGCAAGGACTATCCCTCCATGCTGGCCCTGCCTGGTAGGGTCGTCACAACACTTCTTACATTATATCAATAAAAGGTGTGGAAGCATTTTCCAGACATGAGACGAGCAATTAGAAGATCCTGAAAGTCACTTTTATAAAGACTGAGTATCTGGTTGATCTCATTGTAAGTTGCTTTAGATAAGAGTCAGCTAAGTTCAATGTAACCACAAAATAATGACTTACTATCCAAAAATAATGAGTAAGGACTGCACGTAATGATCAAATTAATTTAAAATAAATTATTAACTGCAAAATAATGACTTAGTCTTTAAAAATCGGGAGTTAGTATCTTAACATATTGAAAAACATACTTTGCAGCATTATCAATATTTCTTTGTAGCTTCCTTTTGAATTTGGGATGAATAGCCCTCTTTCGCATTACTTCAAAAATAACATCCATCATATTGCTTTATAAGCTTTATTTCAGTCCCACCTGTTTTCTCTCAGCGTTCCTCCACGCCTGCAGGGCGCTCGCTGTCTGTTCTGTTATCACTGGTTTCTTCGGAGGCATCCTCACACTCGTGGGGATGAAATGCACTAAAATCGGTGGATCAGAGGTTGCCAATGCGAGGGTGACCTTTGCAGCTGGTATTACCTACCTGGTTTCAGGTAATATCATACATATTTAAATACATTTTTCAGCATTAATCTTGTGAATGTTTTGCACTTCAAAGTCATCTATATTTGTGATAGGATTCTGTGGTATGATCACCTACTCATGGTGGGCCAACAAACTCGTGACAGAATTCTTGGATCCAACTTTCAGGGCACAGAAGTGAGTAGTTTTTAAGCAGCATGATTACAATTACTATCTGAGAGACAAGGGGTGTTTCTCAATGTCAAGGAAGGATGCTCCAGAGCCACTATTTCAAGGATGCTACGTCATCGAGTCCCGCCGAAAGGACTGTTCCAATGTCCAGGCTCCTTGGAATTCTACCGAGCCCGGCGTCCTTCGTAGCGAGACATTTCGATGCTGCACATGTGTATCCTCCGCGGTCTTAAAATCCCCACAATGCTTTGCGCACGGACCAATTTCCAAATCTTTGGCGGAAATCTAGGAAGGATTCCTGCCTCGCTTCTGAAGGAAGTGACTCAGAAGACATATCCTACCAAGGACGCGTCCTCGACATTGAGAAACACCCAGAGACTATAAGTGCAGAAAAACTAATCATAACTCTTGATAAACCTCCAAACTTGCTGTTCAGATTTGAAATTGGAGCGGCTGTTTTCGTTGGCTGGGGAGGCTCCACTCTTCTCATCTCCGGAGCAACAGTGATGACTTACTTCTCCGGAAAAGAAGGTCTACCATCAAAGTAAATATGAAACCTCTTATATTTCATCTATTGCCATTATTATATTTATTTAGACCATTTGTGTCAACAGATCTCCAAAGAGGCCTCGAAGGCCGGCCACTTACGCCACCGCCAGGACCCGACAGACCTACATGCTGCCGAACACGTCCTCCAGAGGGAATATGGGGCCGCCGCTTTACTATGAAGGCAGGAAGAGCCGAGGGACAAGAGCCCCCACGAAGACCAGCGCGACCTTCAACAGGGACAGCTTCGTCTAAAGTCTGAGCCGAGGAAGTGACTTCAAAGACTGAATTAGAATAATCAATACCACTCTAGTGTGTTGATGTTCAATATGAAGCCACAGGCAGCATTCTGTAAGCCTAGATTAGCATAAAGGTAATCCTGATGCTGCAATTAGTCAATATTTTGTATTTATAGCTGTTTTTTCATCAGTGAGCATCCACTTTTAACTCTAACCCGTCCTATCTGCCTTCTTTGTTCCTTTGAGACAGGGTGAAAGCATAAATGAGTACAAAAAGGAGAAACATTGCTCATATAGTAACTTCACAGCATGTGATACCACTTTGTATTTTAGTTTAAAATTAAGACCGTTCCATGCCTCATCTAAGCTTTGTTAGTGTCTTGCCTTCATCAGGTATGCATCACTTTCCATTTATACATTATTCATCCGTATTGTGACTTATGATGAAACTAAATTAACATAACATTCTCAATAAGTATAAGATAACACTTTCAGAAAGTATAACTATTGATGAGCAAATGAATTCAGTGTCCATATTAGGTTTCCTTTCCTTTTTGGTATACACTTGGTGGCATCTTACAGAGTTGTTCTGCACTTCTTCCAGGTCGCCAGAAGATGGCACTCAAAATCAGACTATCAAATGAAGATGATGTTCGGTGGCTCTAAGTCACATTACTGATCACTTATTCAACCCCAGATTCCACCCTGATGAAGGAAAGACAGCTGAAAATGGTTTGGTAAATGAAGCATGGTGTACTGTGGACTTCTTTCCTCAGAGCCAATGATATTCGAGGAGGCCGTGGTGTCAGAACAGGAAGCAGTCACAGCTGTCAGCCTCCATAAAAACCCAGTAGCTCATATTACAAATGAGCTTCATGGCCAAGTCAGCCAGTCAGAGAGAAGCGCTGACACTAAAGCCGTTGCTGATAGTTACTCATTTATCATCTCACACAGTAAGCAGCGGTGGAGGAAGTATTCAAATCATTAACTCATGTAAACATAGCCAAACCACACAATAAACACAATTTAAATAAGTATCAAATCTTTAGGTAGTGTGTAGTGTGTCAGAATTTTGAATTATTATAAGGCAAAATAAACTATAATGTTGTTTGATGTGCAGCTAATCTTTTTTACTTCATGTACCATTTTATTATGTTTTTTAAATAATGTTAATGTGACATTTTAATATCAATACATTTTAGTTTAAAAAAAATAACATTCATGACATGCCTATATTGTTTTAGTAAGTCAGAAAGGATTGATTCTACAGAGAAATCTTTTATTGCTGGTTTAAATATTTTCTATACAAAATCACATTTCATCGCTCCATTTGACACATTATCAAATTTGATTTACAAAATGTCATACAAACTAAATACAGTACAGCATCTCATTTGGAGTGTTAGTTATATATATCAAAAGAGGAAAAAACGGTATTTAATGCTGAACACTGAAAAGGTCTAAGGCAAGCAACGATTGGCACAAGGTGAGGGTGAAAATGAGAAGTCAGTTAAAGCTGTAATCTAATATGTTTAGACTCGTTGAATGTTTTATTACAAAGTCCCATTATATATTGCTTCATCTCTATTATAGCTTCCCTAGAATAACAGTATAACATATGGCTATGGTGTCAGAGGAGTTGAGGTCTTTGTGTCTGTGCTTGGCGTAGAGCTACCTCACCTGATCAGCTGTAGTGTTATTTGTATTTATTGCTAAAGTCCTCCGAGTCGCTGATGTCACTGAGGGAGCACAGGCTGCTCTTCAGGGTACTTCCTGTTCCTGCTTCAGTCAGACCTGCGGGGCACAAGACAGCTGTTTTTACTGTACTGCGTTACAAATGGGAGAAGTCCAAAATAATCATCATTGAATATTATAAACCTGCATTTATCCATCCTACTACGAAGTTCATAAGGTGTGTAAAAAGAATAGTACAAAAATGTTTTGCATTAAAGTATCTAAAATTGTGTTAACCTTTGTTTTTAATGCCAATAAAAATCTGTAGTTTAAAATCAAGGTGTGCTTGATTTACTTGACTGTAATGGCTTTTATCCAGTTTCAAGCCACATCCTTCTGATACACTCTAGGAGTCTGGTCATTTGTGTCTATATGAGGGCTGTCAAGTTAACGCGTTAATAACCCTTTAAAAAAAATTCGCCACTAATTATTTTAACGTGCGATTAACGCATGTGTATTTGTCCTCGGCCCGCCCCGTTCTTTCAGAGCCCAAAGGCTTGACGTTGTTGTTGATGGTTGGATGGTGGGAGATTCTAGCGACAGATATGGATACAAGAAAAGGTGTTTTAAACAGCAAGCCAAGCACACAGCTGATGCTGACAGCCCCGCTCCTGCCGCTCGCTTGCGGCAGACCACGCTTGAAAGTTTGCCGGGGAGACGCCCGGACAAAAATAGCGATAGCTAAATGGGGGGCTACAGCTTAACATTATGGAGGACGAGAGACTGTGTGAGATAATTCGGATCGCATCCAACGTGTCGACTGCACATCACAGCGCATTATTTTGACCCACTGTGGGAACTTCAGTCTCATGCTTTGACTGTTATGAAGACAGAGGAGCGGCATTTCGCCGACAACTGTAAACAGGCTTGTCTGTTTGAGCAACTGGCTCAGTGCAGAGAAGTACACAGGGTTAGGAGAGAGTGAAGAGAGAGAGAGAGGTTCCAGGTTGTTGTGTTGAGAATATTCTGGAGAATATTTTGTCATTGTTCCAATGATAATAAACAAACATTTGCATAAAGCATATTTGTCCACTCATATGTTGATAAGAGTATTAAAAACTTGAAAAATA